AGTATCAGATTGTTCCATCTCGTTTCCCTTTGGGGTTGCTATAGGTGATCTGGAAGTCTTGTTTTTGAGGCTTGTTTACATGTCTTCTCATTTCCATGGCGGGGGGGAGGTTGTGTGCTTCTGGCATCCTTTCAGCTCACCTTCTCTGTGCTAGGAGCATGGAATGGCGGTGGGGGAGCTTCCTTCCGGGTGCTGGGACTGGCTCAGCTTCTCTGCCCTAGGAGCGTGGAATGGCGGTGGGGAACTTCCTTCCAGGTGCTGGGATTGGCTCACCTGTGCAGCCTGCTTTAAGACTCTTTTCAGTACTGAATCTCTTTATGAGGTCTTACTTGAAAAAAAGGATTGCTTGGGAGGACAAGATGAAAAATTAACACCTCTCCTCTCCATGAAGGGCTCAAAACTGGGTGTCCATCGATGTATTTCAAGGCACTGTGAACCTTCTTGAATTGGAAGACGTGGTAATTTTCTAATTTTCATCAGGTTTTCAAAGAGTCTCTTAACTAAAGAAGTTTAAGAGCAATCATTCTAGAAACAACCTCCATTTCTTATTTGGATTTCAACTCTGGCTGGGTCTTGTGCACTCATCACAGGCTAATGTAGCCTTTTCCTTTGTCATTCAGGCCCCTTGATGGGGTTTACACTGCCTCCCCCAACTCTGCAGTCAGTGGGATGGGGTGCTCTGGGAGTGTGGGTGCCACTCAGCCTTGGCCAAAGTCATGCACAATTAGGGAGATAAGTCTGCCAGGGAAATGGAGGGAGGTGGATGACTCCCATTAACATCTAAAACCAGTTATAAGTGCTCCTGCCTTATCTGCAGCAGGGGATATTCTATGCTGGTTCAAACACAACTGGGAATTTGTGGCAGTAGGAGGCAGGACCACAGGAGAAAATAGAAGGGAAGACAGGGCTTATGGGCCCTTTAAAAGAGTGAAGTTTTATGGCACTGTATTCTTTCTCTAGAGCAGGGCTGGGCAAACTTTTCTGTAAAAAGCTAGAGAGTAAATATGGCTTGGTGGCCCATACAACAGTCTCTTCCATTGTTGAAGTGGCCATTGACAATAAATGAATGACCATTACAATGTTCCAATAAAACTTTATTTATAAAGCCATGAAGAGCCTAGGTGTGCCCTGTGAACTGTAGTTTGCCAGTCTTTGCACTAACATTTCTGGGGGGCCAATTCACTCTTGCTTCCTCTCTTCCTTTAAATGTTTCAAACATTTGCAGGTTAGCATGCCCCAGGGCCCCTGCTCCATCCCTGATAGGGTAATGGGGTCTCACTGTCTTCCAGGAGAGACCCACTCAGTCAATTGATCTTAACATTTTCAGGGCCAGTTCTGTACCACCCAGTTCTTGACAAAGAATACTCTGGGTGACTTTTCTTGTTAATGACTCTTGTTTCATAAGCCTGTTTGGATGGTCCCCCTGCAACTCTATCCAGCCATGTAACACTTTTCCAATCTGTGCTGATGAGTTTCTAGAGACCAGAGATGGAGCTGGCACTCCTCACGGGCATTGGTGCCCAAAGTGGCACTCACCAGGGATAGTTCCCACTCAACAACAGGCAGCAGGGGTCTTCTGGGTTCAGCTGCCCTCTCACAAGTCTCTTTATGAAAAAAAATTAAAGTTGCATAATTATATACCCATTGGCACATGTCTCTATAACTTCGTAAAAGGTGGTAAAAACACGTAACACTCCATTTACAAATACATTCAATGTGCATCAGATTTTTAGAACTTTACATCTTCAAAAACTGAAACTCTCTACTGTATCTATTATTATACAAGTCCCACTCTCCCCTCTCCCCTCTCCCCAACCCAGCTCCTGGCAGTCACAATTCTACTCTCTGTTTCTATGTTATTAACTATTTTAAATATCTCATATGTGTGCAATCATTTGTTGTTTGCTCTTCTGTGACTGGCTTATTTCACTTAGCATAATGTTCTCAAGGTTCATCAGTGTTGTTGCATGTGTCAGAATTTCCTTCCTTACCAGGTGAGGTGGCACACGCCTGTAATCCCAGCAATCAGGAAGCTAAAGTAGGAGAATCACAGGGAGTTCAAGATCAGCCTGGGCTACATAGTAAGACCCTGTCTAAAAAAAAGAAAGAATTTCCTCCTTTATAAGGTGAATAATATTCCCTTGCATGTGTAGAACAACTTCTTTATTCATCCATTGGTGTACATTAAGCTTGCTCCTCCCTCTTGGCTATTACAAATATCACTGTAATGAAGATGGGTATGGAAATACCTCCTCACTATCCTGTTTGCAATTGTGGAGTATACTTAGAAATGAAATCATATGGTAATTTGGTTTTGAATTTTTTTTTGAGAAACCTCCATCCTGTTTTCCATAGCAGCTACATCATTTTACATCCCACCAACATATTTATAGCTCTTATTTAAGAAGGAAAGGAACATGTAAACAGGATAATGCATATAGTTCCATTCACTTAAAAACAGCTCTTAAGTGCTCACTGTAACTAGACTGAGCTCAACACTGGTCCAGAAACATTCTTGCTGTCCTGGGATTTGCAGTCTTTTTTGGAGACAGAGTCAAGAAGCAAATAGACATATACTGTAATACCTCGGCTCACAGATGCTTCTGTTTGTGAACAATTCAGTTGGCAAACAGAAGCTCTGGGCAAAATTTTGTTTCCATTCACAAACTCCTTATCAAATGGTGAACATGACTGTGGCTGTCTTCCCCAGGATTGTGGGATGAATTAAGCTCATGAACAGAGGTGCCACTGTAATTCTATCAGAGAAATAGAAAAAAGGATAAGTTAGCTGTGTTTATTTAAAAACAAAATGCATCAAAATAGAAATAGAGGAAATGGGCCTTCCTTTACACCCCTTCCCCAGTCAGGCAAAGTACATCTACAGAAACCTAGATTGAAGCTTAATTATGCTATATCTACTCATCAGACTTAAAAAAATTTAAAAAAAAATTTTTTTTGAGACACATCTTGCTAAATTGCTCAGGCTGGGGTTGAATTTATGATCCTCCTGCCTGAATGTCCCAGAGTGCTGAGATTACAGAAATGTGCCATCATGCCCAGCACCATCAGATTTTTAAAAAATTGAAATGAAATTTATATAACATAAAACTAACCATTTTAAAGGAACAATTCAGCGGCATTTAGTACAATCATGACATTGTACAACCATTACCTCTATCTGATTCCAAAACCTTTTTTGACACTAACCCCATATCCATTAACAGTTACTACCTTGATGATCACCAATCTTTTTTCTCTTTCTATGCAGTTACCTATTCTGACTATTTCATATAAGTGGAATCATATAGTATGTGGCCTTTTGTGTCTTTCTCATTGAAAAATTCAATAACCATATTTTTAAGGCTCATCTACATTGTGACATGCCAGTACCTCATTACTTTCTGTGGGTAATGTTTCTCCATGTAGCTGTACCTGTTTGTGTTTACCCATCCAGCAACTGGTGGACATTTGGCTTGCTTCTACCTTTTGCCTATTGTGAAAAATGCTTCTAGGAAGGTTTATGTACAAGGATTATTTGAGTCTCTGGTTTCCATTTTTTTTTGGCTACTGTGTTCATAGACTTTAGCAGCATAGAGATAGATGCCCTTTATAAGAAGTAAAGGGTGAAGTATTTTCACTTCTATGCCCTTCACAGCTGGCCAGTCCTGGACTATGCAAGGACCAGGCACTTCCTCCCTCAAGGTCTGAATTGTAAAAAGTCCTGATCCACCTTCCATGGCCCCTCATTCCCATACCCCAAAGAGGCCCACCCTCTCAGTCACTCTGTGTGTCCCTGGGCCTTGTCTCCTTGGGGCTACCTGGCTCCTGGTGGTACATTCTCCATCCTCCTGTGGTATCTCCTGCAGTCCCAAGGATGTCTGCTCTTCCCAAGGAAACTAGATCAAGGGTCAGGAATGTCCTTGGGTGGAGGTGGGGCTCTGACATCACACCTATGCCAGGTAAGGCCTTTTGTGAGGTGACCTGGGCGTTGGCAGAAATGACAGATGAATGGGCCAGAGGAGGTGCCCAGGGAGGTTGTGTAAACCCATGTCCAATAGGGACAGCACATTCTCTCCCTTGGTGAATCTCCCCTACTGAGTCCCCCCCTCCCCCCATAGATCCCTCAGGACAGAGAAGAAGTACTTGGCCTGGGATTGTGGTCTAGAGGATTCTAGGGTTAACTGATGAACTGGCAGTAGGTGCCAGAATCCTTGGTTCTGAGTTCTCTTTTGGGATGTTTTCTATTTCAGAGGGACCAACTAGTCTGGCTCCATGTGTAGATGTAGATGTAGGAAAGTAAGAGGAACCTGGAAGAATGCGAAGAAAAGAAGAACAGAGCATACTGAGCAGAAGACACACACACACACACACACACACACACACACACACACACACACAGAAACATAGGCATGGTGGAGAGGAGAGGATCACGCCTCCCATAGGCCTAGCAGTTCGGTTGTCTCAGGAATGAATCAATTAATGTAAAGGAATGATGTCTTCCACTAGACTCAGGCTAGGATGGGCCACACAGAGCATACCAAGCTGCCACCTGCACCCAGACCTTGGGCATCCTCCACCTCCACCTGAGATGATAAATCACCTGTTGGATATCCAAGTAATGTAGTTACCTATGTTCCAAACAGAATCAGAATGAAACATTGATTGGTAGTTTTGGTTCAATTCTAGAAATAATCATGTTTCCTGCACAGGTCACCCTGGCTTCAGCTTCTTGATTGTCTGATTGACAGAAGTTGCCAGGACTCTGTACTCACTTATTAGTCTAATGGACCGACTAGCCCTTGACTTCCCAAGGCAGGGCTGCTTTTATTTTGTGCTGTATTCCTTGGACGTAACTTACCACTGGGGGACATCTGCATTATCTAATTTATTCCTTTGAAACATTTCATTTTTGTTGATTGCTGCTTAAAGGTCATTTCCAAATGAACATGGAATGAAAGGTCACTGTACCCAGCTGAAAAATCATCTCAAATCTGCTTTGGTCCTGCTCGGTCCAATGTCAATCTTCGCTGACCTCTTCTGCTGGCTGGAGGAACCTATTCATTTGGTGGCATGTGGCTAATTCTGTTGCCTCTCACTTCTTGGCTCTGAATTTGGGGGGTGGGGTTTAGTATTTGCATGGTGACAGGCACAAGTCTTATTGCACTTCGGGCAAAGTTGTGGGGGTCAGAACTCGGGGACTGAGTCCTTTCCAGAAACCAACCAGGACTCAGTGGCATTGCTGAACATCTTGTCCAAGCTGACACAGAAACTAGTAGATGAAATTGTGGATTTGCCGAGCAGATTTTGGAAGAACACAAGGAAGGGGAATTAGCAAAAGGCCTGGGAGGCTCACCTTTGTGTTCACCAAATAGTAAAGAAGGAAAACACTTCAAACCCAGGGTTTTTAATGTACTGTGTGTTCCTGGAATAGACTGCTCAGGAGATGGTTTGTGTGCACAGAGAGGAAGGCTTGAGATACAGAGCAAAAGCTCCATTGGCGTTATTCTCCTTAGTTTCTCCAGTGGCTTACTTGGCAAGTAGATGTGGTGAGGGCTGTAAACATGGCCACAGGAGGATTTTAGTAAGGCTCTCCCCATAATGCTTGGGCCAGGGAGGTGGGTACAAGAGCTGCCCACAGAACAACCCAGTTAGGTGTGGGCTCCATGGAGGAAAGGGTTCCTGCATGGAGAAATGGGTTGCCATGGCAAGGGAAGAGAGTTGTGGGCATGAAGACCAAAATGGTCAGCGAGGAATACAACAGGGTACTGCAAATTGGAGTGGAAAGGCAAAGATTTGTGGTGAAAGAACAGGTGAACTTTATGTTTGGGAGGAGAGAGAGAGAGAGAGAGAGAGAGAGAGAGAGAGAGCTTGCACAAAGAATATAGCATTGCGAAGGCTGGTGTAAGTTTAGAGTAAAGCAAAGGTTCTGTGCTAGATGCTCTATGTGTATCATCCCCACATTAGGTCAGCTGTTTGAGCTTGCCCATGTAATAGATGATGAAATAGAGGCACCAGTTCAAAGGTGGGACAAGCAGGGCTGGAATCCTGGCCATGAGGTACTAGGGCTGATTATGTAATTAGTATAACTATACATCATGCACAACCACTGTACCACTTGCTTCTTTGAGACTACATACAGCTGGTACACTAGCATATAGGAGGTTCTTAAACAGTAGGGCAAGGATATTGTGGTACCATTTATTACCTCTCAGATTTGGAAAAAAATAATTTCCACTGACTGATAATGGCAGTGAAATTTGAAGACCATTTTCAGGAGTGTGATTTGACAATATCTATTAAAATGATTTTGCTTTTTTTTTTTTTTTGGTACCGGGGATCGAACTCGAGTCCTTGTGCTTGCACAGCAGGCGGCGAAACCACTGAGCTAAATCCCCGGCCCCTAATATCTATTAAAATGAAACACATACAGCCCCTATGACCCAGCTTGCATTTCTAGGAGAAGATGCTGAGAAATATCCTCATTCGTGCTTACTTAACAAGAGATCCATAATAGTCATTAGCGCATTGTCTATAACAACAGACGGTTAGAGAGGTCCTTAAGTCCCTAAAGAGGGGACAGGTCAGGTGAAATGCAGCAGAGCTCTGCTGTGGGTACCACACAGCACAGCACAACAACAAGTGGGGAGTGAGTAGAGCCACAACCCGAGGGAGGTGTCTATGACATGTGATTAGGTAGGAAAACAGCCTCCAAAGCTATGTGATATAAAACATAATCATATACCTTCATGATTGTGCAGTTAGTATAACTGTACATCCCACAAGTACAAATGCTTACAAATTTATATTTACAGAAGTAAATATACACAAATAATAAAACGTAAGTAGAGATTATATGTATGCATGTATATATCTATATATAAATATGGAGATATAAATATATATGTGTGTATATATGCATAGAAAATATTTTAGAAGGAAATATGTCAAACTATTAATAGTCTTCTCTGTTGGTGATGATGTAAGGAACTTTTTACTCTTTATAACCCTTAAGAGTATAGGAATGGAAGGAAGGAGGAAGGAAAGAGAGAAGGAAGGAAGGAGGAAAATGGTGGGTTATGGGAGACTTTTCTCTTTCTTTTGTTCTCTTTGGTGCTTTCCAAATTGGGGGAGCAGATGAGGCACAGAAGGAGAAGCGAGAGCAGCAAGGCTGCATGGACAGAGAACTGTGTTCACCTGCTAGCAGTGCGGGCAGACTCTGCCCCTGTGCATGCTCCCTGGGCCTTAGGACACTCAAGGAGGATGAGGGGCAGGTGAGGGCCTGGGCTGGGTCAGAGGAAGACTGGTTGGAAACACTGGTCTCCAGATGTGAAGAGGAAAGGTCTGGGGAATGCTGAATGTTACCTTTAAGTAATAGGAAAACGATGTGGCAGGCTTCAGAGGCAAACTAGGACTTCTCTGACTTCTACCCAGATAGACCTCACACTTTTAATCAACTGGATGCAGGGTCCCTGTCACAAGCATCAACTCATGGGTGTCATCGAGGGTTTTTGTGGGTTTTAGTGCACCATGCAGCAGACAACTGCAATTTGGTTCAGCCTTTGACTTAGATAAGCCTGGGATCCACTGTGCCTCTTCCATGACACACAGAAGGATTTGTGACCTTCCCATGCCCAAAAGTGTCCCCAGTACAGTTATTCTCAGTGTTCACAGAGGGACCCGGACAATGGGATCCATCATTGCAACTCCAGCAGTAGGGGGGGGACAGCTTGGTCTCCATCTGTAAATGGAGACAGTGTCAGAAACCGCTCCATAAGGTTCTGGAGGTTGAGATGTGGCAGGTAAAGTATTTAGAATAGAACTCTGTGCATGATAGTATTGGCTATTACAGTGGACCCTCAAGTTACGACCAGCCTGACATACGAACAACTTGGATTAATTGGGTTAACGGAAGATTCATCTGCCTCAAGGGTCCATTGTATGTACAAACCTTTTAAAAGTTCCTCAGGTGATCCTGATTCACCTCCTCTGCCCTCTCCACCGCTGTTCTCATTCTGACCACTTGAGACTCCTTGGTATAAGATGGAAGGAGATCCTCTGGACTTGTTGATGAATTTGTGGTGAAGTAGTTGGTGAATTTGGCAGACTTACTCAGCACCTAATCTGTGGATCCATTCTTTAGGTGTTAGTGATCCAAGCCTGAACAATGCCAGCATTGTCTCTGTACCCTGGACCTGACCTGACACTCTCATAGGAAGACAAACACACCGAACAAACCCAGCAAACCAACAACCTGTCCCTCTTGCCTATTACAATAGAAAACACAAGTGAAGTTTTGCATGTTATTTACTTTTTCATATGTCGATTCCAAGATGTGCATCTGATCCTTGCCTCCTTCATTGGGTTTTTATTATCTATTTACTTACTTAGAGACAGTTTCACTAAGTTGTCCGGGCTGGCTTCAAACTCATAATCCTGCTGCTCGAGCCTCCCTAACAGTGGGATTACGTATGTGTACCACCACATCCAGCCATTCAGTGAATAATGATCACTTTTAAGTGTTTAAAAGTTACCACGTTGTGTAGCACTCCATGCTAAGCCACCTATTTATTTATTTATTTATTTATTTATTTATTTATTTTTGGTACTTGGGATTGAACTAGGGACCTTGGCTTGCAAGGCAGGCACCGGAACCACTGAGCTAAATCCCTGGCCCAACCACCAAATTATTGAGCCTCAAGTTCTCGAAGTCCTTCCTTAAGCTGAACTTTCTGATTATTTCTTCTCTGAGTGGAAGGAGGAGCTGCTCATTTCCTAAGACTGGCTTCAAGAGTCCAGGGCTATGGGCTCAGGCGGTACTGTTGTCCATGAGGCACACTATCTCTGAACAGTGTGTGACATCACCCACCAGACTCAGGTCTCTGCTCCCTCCAGGTCTCTACC